GGAAAAAAAAAAAAAAGTAATAGCTACCAGTTTCCTTATGTTAAAAGACTGGAGGGAACAGGGTGGAGGGGGACAGAAAAGAAAAAGAGAGCCCAGGCTTCATTTGGTGAGTAAAATCCTAGGTGGAAGCGGATAGCTCAGCTACAAAATGTGATTTGTATAAAACCCACTGTGTTTAGTGCTATCTTGTTCTCTGCTGGCAACTTTTCAATTCACAGCATGGTTAGATTTGCTCGAGGCACCAACTTAGCTCCAGTTGTGCCTTGTCTGACAATTTCATTCCAAGACAGCTAGTTTGCTATTACTGAACTGCTTATTCTGATTTGATTGATCGAGGAGGTTTTGCATCAAACACAATTTATTCTGTCAAGTCAAATTTGTCCTGGTCTATGAATAGGTTTGCTTAGAGACAAGATACAGATTTATTTTTACGCAGAAGTTTCAAAACGATTTTGTAATCCCCTCTCTTCTAACATATCCGAGTGTAAAGAAAAAAAGTTAAAGTGAAGGATTAAACTTGAAGACTTCTAAAGAGGGGAATGCCCTCTTCACCTGTCCAGTCTTTTGCAGCCAACAATGTCTCCAACTTAGCGTATGGAGACAAAACACAGAAGTTGACAGCTATAAAATGAATAATGTATGTTTCTCCAGAACTATGGTCAAAACAGAACTTCTGGAACAACTTCAGCCCATCTTCTCTGAAGCTTATTTCCAAGGCAAAGGACTTGAAAAAAATTCTCTCCACTTCTACATTACAAGTCTAGGGTGGAAACAGCTCACTGAACAACATGCAAAGGAATAACAGGTGCAAGTAATCCATCAGTGGACTGTCAATTCAAGATAAATCTTGAATTTACCTTTAAAAAAAAGGTGATGGACTTTGTTTACACCTGTGATCCCTACAGCTAAAACAGTGCTTGTAAAGTTAATTAGAAGGAACAGTACACGTGGAACAGATTATATTTGACACTTCTGGAGAACAAGGCAAGAAACTCCTACACCCCCAGCATGTGTTGCCTGCTGTGATCCACCAGGTAATTTAGGCTGCTTTTATTTCAGAAATAATAAAAGACCCAATTTCCCTGGAAGTGACTTCTCCTTCCAGCTGCCAATGCATCCTACCACTCACCTCAACTTTGATGGCACAGCGGCCAATGGCTCGAACCGCCTTCCTAACAAAGTCCACATCCACTTCTGTTGCATATTCCTTCAATTCAGCAAGCACCTACCAGAGAAGAAAAAGCAGAATGAGACCAGAGCCCTGCCTTGTCCCCAAAAGGAGACAACAATATGTAGACTCCTTTAATTACTAGAGACCAGTATTTCTTCAAAGACATGCAATTAAAGGCAGTTCTTATGGCTGATTGCATATTTTACTGCTGTAGTGATCTGATGGCTTGGTGAAGGCACCATGCCATAGTGACAGCAGCCTCTGTAGAGCTAGAGGCATTAATAATTCTTGCTCATTGGACTGGGTAAATTAAAACCTTCAGGAGCACTAACAAGCATGGTGGCTTGATAATGCTACTCACTGTTCAAGGTGATTGCTCCCAAAAGCTTGCAAAGAATTTTCTCTCACCCAACTACTCAGTTGGTTTAATAAAAGATATCACATCAGCCCAAAGACCCTCGCCTGCTTATGTCCATATACCAACACGACTACAACCAAAAAACCCAGCAACATGGAAGATATCGAATTTTGTCATTTAAAATGGAAACTTCACAACACGAAGGGCGATTGTGCTGAAAGCTTGCAAAGAACTTTCTTGCAGCTACTCAGTTGGTCTAATAAAAAGATACCACAGCTACCCAAAGAACCCTACCTACACTCTTTGTTCAGGGCTTCCTTAAAGTGAGGGTGCTTAGCGTCTCTGGCACTAAGGAGATGCAGCTGTAAAGTTTGCACCATTAACACACATGTATAAAATAGGACACCAGGAAAAAAAAAGAGCTCCCAGTCTCTCCCACTAAAACAGAAGTAGCCTTCTTTTACTTTGCCAATGTGCCAGAACAGAATCAAGGGGCTCAGATCCTCTAAGAATTTGTTCAGCAGTGTCTTTAGCAGTCATGTGCCACTGATAAGAAAGATAGGAGGTAGTAAAATCCATGGTGATCCAGGAAGTGACGCAGCCAGAGGAATGCTACTGGACAGGCCTTAGTCCAACCACAGCACGGGACAAGGCAGTCCAGGTCAAAATTTTTAGCATTTGCTCTCTCCTCAGAAGGAGAGTGAAGCTAAGGCTCTCTGGAAACTCACTTCATTAGCCTGAACAAGCTTTGGCCAGGCTCTAGTCTAACTCTCTACAGATGAGTTCCCACTCCCTTTCAGCTCTGTGACTTAGTTTCATGTTAATTATCCCTGCATGCGACTCAGGCTAAACAACTCTTCATCTACTCCAGAGTTCACAACCTTTAGAGTTGTATCCCATACACTAAAGTCACCAAAATTTAACCAAAATTGTGACATGCTTACCATCCATCCCATCGGCTTACGACACCAAGATGTCTACCCTTCCCCCCTCTTCCGGCACCCAAGATCTGACCTGAGCAATATTGGCCTGGGATGCCAGGCGGATCATGATGTCCAGTTTCTCCAGCTTAACATAGATGGGGTCATTGTACTTCACAAAAAACACCTTCATCTCATGCTTCAGGATTTCAGGCCTGGAAGGAGAGATCCAGAAAGGGAGGGGAGGTGGGGGGCGCTGAGGGTTGTTATGTGAATTTTAAAAAGTTCCCTTTTTTTTTTTAAAACCCCCACACAAATAAAAAAAACCATTTAAAACCCAAACCCAAGGATGCCTACCATGAATCTGTATTCAACGGAGGTTAGGAAAGCAGTCCCAGTGAAGCAATTTGCTAGGTCAGATCACTGGGCTCAGCCCCCATATTCTCTCATTTCTGACAGTAGCCAGTACCAGAAGCTTTTGAGTAAAAAACCAAACTTGCCCACTCATAAAACGTAGCTGTTGCACAATACTCAGCATGAGAGAAGAATAAGTCAGTAAGCCTGACCCCCACAATCAAGTGGAGCCCCCAAATGCAAACTATAGATTTATTACATGTGTTAGTTCTCAATTAAATGCTGTAGCTGGGACGAAAGACAGTAGAGCAGTGGTCAACTGGGTGCTGCAGTTCCCTCAGGTGCCATAACATGGGTGCTGCCACAGCCAGGCTGAACTGCCTTATGTGGAGGCAGAATGGCAGCAGCTGAGGCTAGAGCCCACATTCTTCCTGATCTGCTTCCACATGTTCCTCCTGGAAAATGGAGGATGCCAGGCGGGGGGGCTGTCCTACACCCCTCTGTTTCCAAGACAGGCATGCAGGGTTGAACTAGGAAGGGCTGTGGCAGAGATGCTTGCTCCAGACCCCTTTGCACTGTCCATGTAGGGAGCTGGGCTGGGCTGTGGCACTATCATTTGCATTGCCCGGTCAGGAGCTAGGCTGGCTGCAACAGCCCCATCTGGAGGTGGTGAGCACAGGGACACCAAGGACAGGAAAGATCACGCTCCTTCCCCACCACCCTCTGTTCCCTGGGCTGGTGGGCATGGGGTTCATACAGCATTCCTGCCCACTTTAGATTTACCAGAAAAGCTTAATACAGGAAGGAGTGCAAGGCAGCACCTGGCTGAGACATAGTGAAGCAAGTGGAAGCAGAACAACAGTAGTTCTCAACCAGCCAAATTCAAAAAGCTTGTGGAGAGTACCCCACCCACTCATCTTGAAAAAGGTTGCAAATCACTACTGTAAAGAATTTTAACTAAGGAACTGACCAAGTAAGGGCTCCTGAATGTCTTGTGTAGGACACTGCACTACTCAAAACTCATTTCATTAACCTCTAGGTGCTTTGACATTGCTGCCAGACAACACTGATAAAAAAACCTGGGAAAGGAAGTCGCAATTCAAAGCCCTAAACTCAAGGAAGAGATGCAGTTTTCCTTTTTTTTTTAGGGCAACTAGACCCTAGGGCACCAGCAGAAACAGTGAACTACTACTGGGGTTTGCACAGTGCAACATGGGTGTTCAGCAATAGAAACTTCAGTATTTGTATGATCCTGATTACTAAAGGATCTGGGCATCAGTCTTAAGCATGTGCACTTCCTCACATCTTAGCATTTCCCTACTGTGCAATTACACCATCTTGCAAACACAACTGAAGTACAGAGACACTGACATGCCCAACCCACATCAAGTCTGCACGAGGGAAAAATACTTAAAAGAGGAATGCAATGTTTTCAAAAGGACAAGCTACCTAAAAGTTCTCCAAAGTGTTACACATCTGATTAACAGCCTAAAGAATACCAGAGCTAGTTGTTCATTTACCTTCTACACTGTGCAAGACACCAACTAGAAAACACTGGCACCTCAGTTTCTAGTCCATTTCATTTCTTTGCTCCAAAATGCAAGCCCCATGCTGGAGGCATTCCAATGCTGCTGGAAAGGAAAGGCAAATCCCCCAAATGGATTTGACTAGAATTAAGAGCAAACCCATGATGATGGCTCTAATAATAGAGACCTGCTTTAGCAGAAGTTGTATATTAGTTGTAACAGGGTCTGGAATTAACTTCTAGCTTGCAAGTCCCACAGCAAATTGTACCATGACCTTGTGTTACTGTGGCTACTTCTAGAGAAGGGTCACCCAAGGCCAACCAGACCTGGCAGTGAGGAATAGGCTGGTCCCCCTTGCCTGGCTCTCCCCACCCTGCCCACAGAGTAATAAATGAGGTCACCTCACCTCTTCTGCACAATGAGGTTAATGTTGCGGAGAGCCACATACTGCAGCTCAGGCTCTGCTGAGAGCAGGGTGACCAGAGGGGGAGCCAGTTTCTTCAGCAGGGTACCATAATAATCCAGGTCCTTTGACAGCATCTCCATGAACTTCATCAGCACCTTCACCGCTGACAGGACCACAGCAGAGTTTGCATGGGACAGCCGGGGAGTCACCCGCTCACAAATGCTAGTGAGATGATGTAGAAAGGCAAGACAGACAAAATAGGGAAGGGGAGAGAGAACGGAACAGAGAAGGATCAAGAATTTAATTGTAATAGTCCAAGAAAAGCACTGCCAGTACCACCAGGTTCCCAAGTCTGAGTCAGTATCTGTTTTCAAGAAGACAGTGCAACTAAGCCAGTAAAAATCCCTTTCTATTAGCACATGCTGCATAAACACTAGGGGGCTCTGGTGACAGCTTTATATAAGCAGAGGCGCCACAGCACAGACAAGCCCCGATCTGCAGACAAGCCATGACCTACAGCACGGTTCTTACGGGAGATTGCCTCTAGCAGGCCTAGGAATCAGCAATGGACTACAGAGAAGGACAAAGGCCAGCTCTGCTCAAATAGGAGAATAGGCAAACAGGGGACCCTAACCTGAGCAAGACAACAGAAATAGAGAACCCATTAAAAAACCCACAAAGAGAAGTGTTTTCCTTGCATTAGTAAAGAATGATCTCTGCCTAGGAAACTAGAGGTCAACTGACTTCTATCAAGAGATGCCAGGGGTGGGAGCCAGGCCATGGCATTCTGAATGCTCCCCCCAGGCCAGGAGGCAAATGCTAGGTGCATGGTAGGAAGAGGGCCATATATAAAGCCAGAGCCATTTATATCACTGGCTTACAAAGCTGCCTTCTCCCAACTGTCAAGTGAATGCAAAGGTTTAGCTCCAGAGGACTTTTATTCAGCATGATGGCTACACACTCCAGGAAAGCAAAGCAGAAGTTATCCTTTGAGATGGATTCTCCATTCTTCTCAGTCTCTTTCTCTCTCCCCTTGATTCTCACCTCCAGAAGTCTCAGCCTGCTGCTTGCAGTGCAGGAAATGAGTCACGTGGCTCTACAGACACCACATGCCACCACCTCAAGTTACTTTACTAGAACGTGGTGGTGGGCACTCAGTGAGTGATAAAGCTTACCCACAGGACTCTTCAGAAGAGAGGAGTCACAGCATTAGTCGCATGCATGCTCTATGCTCCAACTGAAGCAAGGGAAACTGAACTCTTCACACAACTGCTGATTCTACCCCCCCTTTCCCAACTCACCCTGAGGGCAGGAAGAAGAGGGCAGAGACTTAGGCAGGGCCTGGTCCAAGTAGCAAATATGGTTTTGGTTTTGTTTAAGGACTGTTGGCCAAGCAGACCAATTTCTGCATCTCTCAAGTTCAGAACCAGCCTCTATACCACTGAGATCACCCCTCCCTCACCTCTGGGCCTCCCGGTCATCTTTAGGCATATAGTTGGCCAGACAGTCCAAGATGAAAATCTGGCCCCACTCCGTGCACTCATTCAGGGCTGTGAGCAGTTTGTTAATAGACTGGGGGTTGAGGTCCAGTAGGTTGCTGCTAGGGTGAGATTCTGCTATCTCTGAAAGAGCTGCAACAGCATTAGCTACCACCTGAAAGAGAGAGAGAGAGTTACTAATCTTGTGTAAAATGGATGTTTAAAAACAAATCAAAAACAACCCAAAACCAAACCAAGCCTCCCCAATAGTCACCATATATGCAAAGCAACAGTACTGGGCAGAGAAACAGCTTATAGGGACTCAGCTCTTGGAACAGACACCTTGTTGGCATTTGACCATCATCTATAAATTCCACTCCCCATCACCACTCTCCACCCCAGCCAAGGATGAAGCTTTATTACAACACCAGCTATCAGCCACTTAAAGCACCAACCAGATGTGCAGAACAACTCTAGTCTTTGGCTTTCACTGCTGGTATCACAGGGGCATACACCTTCAAGTCTGTCCTAATCTTGTTGGCTTACTGAGAATGAGTAAGCTGGAGGACATCATAGCATGCCCTATGGCCAAGATATCTGAAAGGTCGTTGTGCTTGGGTGATGTACCGGAAGACTGGACAAAAGAGCCAAACATGGTCCCAAATCTTCAAGAAAGGGAGGAAGGAAGATCTAGGGAATTACAGACCTATCAGTGTGACATCCACCCCTGGAAAGATCTTGGAGAAAATCATCAAGGGATGAATCTGCAACAGGCTAACGGAAGGCAACCTACTGAATACCAGCCAACATGGTTTTATTACTGGAAGTCTTGCCTGACCAACCTCATCTCTTATGACCAGGTGACACATTGCCTGGACAAGGGAGGTGAGGTCGATATCATTTACCTAGATTTAAAGACGACCTTTGACTAGGTTTCCCATGATGTCCTCATGACCAAGCTGGAGAACTGTGGCCTCAGCCATCTCATGGTCCAATGGCTGGGGAACCGACTCTGGGATCAGACCCAAAGGGTACTAGTTGATGGGAAACGTCATCCTCCCACTTTACTTGGCCTTAGTGAGGGCACAGCTGGAGTACTGAGTCCAGTTTTGGGTCCCCCACTTCAGGAGGGATGTGGAAAAGCTCAAGAGAGTCCAGAGAAGAGCTACCCCTATGATCAAAGGCCAAGAGAGCAAGCCTTATGAGGACAGGCTGAGGAACATGGGACTCTTCAGCCTGGCAAAGAAGGCTCAGGGGGGACTTGGTGGCTGCCTATAAGTATATAAGGGGGATGCATCAGGATCTGGAAGAACGCTTGTTCACCAGGGCTCCCCAAGGGATAACTAGGTCCAATGGCCACAAACTTCTAGAAGGCTGATTCAGACTCGATATAAGGAAAAACTTCTTTACAGTCCGAGTGTCTAAGGTCTGGAAAGACTCCCCCCAAAGGTGATCTAAGCACTTACTCTGGACTCATTCAAAAGGCATTTAGATGTTTATCTTGCTGGGATCATTTGATCCCTGCAGACTTCCTGCCTCTGGCAGGGGGGCTGGACTTGATCTCATGAGGTCCCTTCCAGCTCCTAATGTCTATGAAATGAAAAGCTGGTCACTTCAGATGGGCCCAGGTTGCTCAGATTCTGCCTACCACCACTTCCCTGTAACAGGACACTAAAGGCTTGCAATCAACACTTCGCTCAGCACCAGAGTGACATTTGGGGGCCAACTCCTCTCCCAACAGTGCTGAGCTGAAATCATGTAAGTTAACATACAAGAGACAAGAGTAATTACTGTTAGCTTGCTCCCATCACCTACGCAATAACAACATCTTAAAATATTCAACATATGCACCACTAAAGTTAAGATGAATTCAGACAGTCCTTCACCCTAGGGCTTAGCAAATGGCAGTGTCCATTATTCAGGGTCTGACAGCAGCCGCCTTCTTTCATAGCTACAGAACCATAAATAATCTCTTTTGAAGCTATCTGCCCATTGCTGTGGAAGCCTAGAGACAGAAGCTAGACTGACCAGACCAAAAGATTGGAAGGGCAGTAGAGGAACAGGAGAAATGGTAGGCAACAGGCTCTGAATTATTTTGTCAAGTCAGAGTTTTATATTCAATAAGGTGAAGAGTCCAGAGAAAGTGAGTCTCCAGCTAGCATTCAGATGCTATAGACTTCTACCAGTCTACTCTAGCAAAGTTATTCAATCACTACAAAAGGAGTTTTACCCGTCTCTAAGTCCTGGCTGGCAGCAGAGCTGGATTTTGGCAAGAGCATTTTTCTAGAGACAGGGTTGGTAACAGATTACCAAACTCATTTGCTCATTTCTTTTTGTAGGGAAAAGAGAGGAACTCATCTATGTCTAGCATCCAAACAAACGTAGTACTATCCAACATGTACAGGACTGCCCCTTGAGTCAGTGCCACGACAACCACTTTGGTACATGAGGGTCTGGAGGAACTCTGCAGGCTTGTTCCTCTTTGGGACTTCACTAGGCAAAGTAGTACTGCTGGTAGGCTAGGAGAGAGGAGATAGCACCAAGTACAAAAGTGCCCAAGGGACAGCTGTCAGAGCTCTCCATCAGTGTCAGACTGCGGGTCTCTCCTCACAGAAGGCTTACGGCTGAGCTGTCAAGTCTCTGCTGCAGAAGGAAACACTAAACAGATGTTACACAAGTCCTTCATTCTGGGGCGATTATATTGCCATACTTTCACTCCCCTCACAATGGTCACAAGGCACTCACCATCTCTACACATGCTGTACTAAAAGTGCAGCCACCGCTGGTGTATAGGACAGCTGTTAACTGGCATGCAGGAAGGAGAGGGAGAGAAGTTTTGGCTATGTAAAGCCCATCCCTATACAGAATAGGGTACAGCACTGTGACTACACAACTCTCTCAAACAGAGCAGGGATTTTAAAGGTCTCAAAAAAGTCATACCTTAAGTCACATAAAATGTGGCTTGTTCCCAAGAGATGAAGGGCTAGACTGACCCAATAACAAAAGTTGGAAACGCACTTCTGCCATATGCAGTTTAGGCCATCTCTACTGGTACCGTAATGTCCAAGCACTCTGTGAACTAAGAGCTACTGGACTCCCAATGTAACTGTTGAAATGTAACCTATTTTTATGCTAGGAACATTTCTTGCAAGAGCTAGGGGTTGTCATGTCCCTGGCTTCCTATGGGACAACTTTATGGAAATGCAGGGTGCAGAAAGAAGTTGGCTCTCCAGGCAGAGGTATACCAATACAGTTCTGTGCCTTGGACAGTGATGGGGCAATGTCCACAGCTGTGCTGCCAGCAGCAGCTGCCAAACTAGAAGCTGTCACTCCCTCAGTCAGCACCCATGGTTGGTGTCCCAGTTACAATCCCCCCTAACTCTCTGTAGCTATACAACAACCTCCAGAATAGAAGACCAATAGATCTTGGTTTCACACAAGCATCAAGGTGACAGTGCTTGGAATCATATTGACAACTAAATCCTTACAAAGCAAGGGGCACTTGATTCTAGGATAAGCACATTCCTGCCACTCCTTTTCTCATTGAGGATATGCAGAAGAGACTCCAGGGCTCCTGTGAGGCATCTGGGAAGCCACTAGGCTGAGGATTTCACGTACAAGACAGAAGCCAGTCAACAGAAAGAGGGAAGGGCTTGCAATGAACTTGACTGGCAATCTAACCACAGTTCTTACAAGAATGCTCCTGAAGGCTCATTTCCCTGGGAAGCTTACTGCAAAATGAACTAGGGTGCAAGTTTAAAGCAGCTAGCTCTTCTGCAGCAAGGGAATGCTCTGAAGGCATTTAGCATGGAACAGTTATTCCACGCAGTTGTCTAGTGTAGAAGAGCTGTAAGATTAAGTTATTTTCTTACTTGGTGGCACTGTAAAAGGGCTTCAGGCAGACTGTACCAATACTGCTCCTTATTTGCTGGGTACTGTCATTCATAGCCACTTACTCTAAGTTGGTCACGGAGGACAGAGAACTAATGTAAATGGACTGACACCAGAACTGCTCCTGCAGTGTGGGTCAGAAGCTTCCACTGACTACCCCAGAAGCAGCTTTAGCAGATCCCCAAGCCATGTCTCTCAAGTCTCCCTAGTACAGAGCAAGTTCAATGTTTGCCCAAAACGAAGCCAAAATACACCTTGCAATGAAGAATTGTGTCCTCTAATGCCTAGTCCATCCCTTTGCTAGTAGTGCAGGAAATTAAGCCAGTAACTCATGCCAAACTATTAGGCTCCTTCCTCCACAGTTCTCTAGTTACTTTGAACAGGCAAAAAGTTCTCACCATGCAAGGACAGCAACTGCCTGTTTATAGTGCACTGCAGAGATCAAAGGAAGGCTCCATCTAAGAGCAGTCAGGCAGGTGGCAATTATAAGGACAATTGTCATGACCTATAGAGCATTCAAGAGGCAGTCTCTAAATAGCGCAGTCTAGTAAGCAACAAGACAGGTTAGGAGGAGGACGGACTGAAGCCTAGTGATAAGAAGAGAGTCCAAAGCAAGTTTCCCTTGTGTGTACAGTGGCACTGGAAGAGCCATTCAAGATTTCTCAGTGCTCAGGGTCATGTTCTGCAGGATTTCCCAAAGCACCCCTGGTTAAAGTAATGACTGCAAAGACCCAGGCAAAGGTTTATGCTTGGATTAGCAGCAGAGGGATGAATAGCAGGGGACAGCCACTGCCTGCATCCAATACAGTTTTGAGGAGGGGAAGGGACAGAGGACAGCACAGAGCAGCAAAAGCCAACAAGGACAATCACCATAGGGTTGGAGTCTGAGATGAGGTCTTTTAAGGTATCTAGGAAGCCTTGGTCCTCCACCAGCTGTGCATTGATGTCATGAAGCTTTGCCACACAGACTGCAGCTGTCTTGCGCACATAGGGGTCCTCATCCTTCAGACACTTCCTCAGAGGCTCACAGAGATATTCTGTTATCTTATCCACCCGGATGCAGCCCATCGTTCGCACAGCTAGAGCCCGGATCAGGGGGTTTGGGTCTTCGCAGTCCTACAAGAATGAAAAGGGATGTTAGATTCCAGCCACTTCACTTTGGGCCACAGTTTTCAGACCATGTTTGACAAACCTAAGTCCATCTTCAGACACCAAAATTGCAAGTGACCTGAATTCCAGAACTGCTGGGCATACTCTTAAGATCAGACAATTTATTGGAGGCGCTTCAGTGTGGTACCGAGCTGGAAAGCCTGGACAGAAGATTAACCTTTTAATGCCAGCAATTTGGGTTTTAGTGTTATTTTCAGGGCACCTGCCATCAGCAATTAGGTTTTACCAGTGCCAAGTGACCAAGTTCCTTCTGCCTTGTTGCCAAATACAGCAATTTTATTTAGCTGCAAGTCAGTCTTACTCTAGTGAATTGTAGAAGCTAAATACCCTGAAGTATGAAATGGCTTTGCATTTGCTATGCTGCTTTGGCAGGATCTTTTGTTCCCAATCCATTCTTTTGCCAGCCTCAAGCTACTATAAGAAAGATTATAATTAAGGAGGATCACGGCCTTCTTGACTGCAGACTGGCAAATTCAAATGTGACTAGCACTGGATACATACTAGTCAAAGAGGCTCAAAACTGCGCACTTCACAACTTCCCCCTTCTTAATATCAGCAAAACACAACTCTTACTCAGAGCTCAAAGAAAGGCCAAACATATCTCCTTTGCCATTGTTTAAAACCTAATGGAATGAATTGCTGCTTATTTGCTACACAGAGAAGGGAAGCCAAGGAAGTCAGCTTAATTGACGCTGAGGAAATCTGAACAAGTGGCACGTTATTCTGTTAGCTTCCCATGGAAGAGCAAGAGAAGGGCAGGACAGGAACGAGTGAGGGGCAGGCCTCTGTGAAGGAGTCTAAACTTATGCCAAGTCAGGATTAAGCTCTTGGATGGAGCAGATGGACCGAAGGGTTACCCATCCATAAACTGGATGGAGATTTTGCCACTTTTCCTGGAATAGCAGCACTAAAATCAGTGGCAATTTCTTACTGATATCCTGTCAAGTCTGTTTGCTGAATTAGTTCAGCCCTGAAAGCACAAGGCAAGTCGGGCTCTAGCCCTCCCACCATAGAAGTCCCTATACACAATCTTCCCATCTCACCTTCACAAATGTGTTGACAGCCATAATGGCCATGTCTGGCTGACTTTTGGCATAATTCATCAGGTAGAGATAGACCAGCTTCTTAAGCTCAAGGTTATCAGTTTGCATACAGTTCACCACATCTGGAAAGAGTGCACTGAAAGACAAGAGCACCAGCATCACTACAGAAAATGTTACCGGGACAGGGGAACAAGAGGGAAAGTTACTTGGTGTGCATAACCTTTCACCTATACGGCAGGAAGGTGCCTGTGGAGTTGCATCTTCCACGAAGGACTCAACACAGCAAGCACAATCTCCGTTTAAGATGTAGGAATGTTTGAAATTAAGTTTCCAAAACACATAAATATGTATACATATTTATATGTTTTGGAAACTTAATTTCAAACACACAGACTTTGAAGGCAGAGCATCTATATAAAGCTTTAAAGGCTTTGCCTTTCCTGCATATAAACTGACTATACTCACAGACCAGCTCAGCAGCAGCAAGTTAACAACATTTTAAGAAACTATTAATTAAGCATCTTGTGATAGTAACACTGATGGCTCATTAGGATCAGTCTCAGGCTACAGACACATGCATCTGTACACAGTGAGAAAAAAGAAAATAAAAACAGAAAAAACGAGCAGCATTTCAGGCCCAAGGAAGAGTGGCATGATTGAAGCCCTTCAATTCAGTAGTTCCAGTCATCCCATCTCTCTATCTTGTCTTGGTTTGCAAGGTCTTTATGGCCAGAATACCCTGATGGAGAAGGCCACAATCAGTGCTGCGAGCACTGGGCTAGTGTCACCACCTTTGGTTTCAAACACAGCTCCGCTACTGACTCACTGCATAACTAAGAGATGAGACTGAAGTGACTTGCCCAATCCCGACAATGGATGAGGGCACGCTACACTGGCTACCTTTAAAAAGTGTGCAGCAGTTAAAGGATGGGCAGTGCTAGGTGCTTTCAAGGCACCTTTTGCAATGATCTTCTAGTTGAAGAAACTTTGACTACACCAGTACTCAGTAACTGCCTCAAGTCATGTATTCCTAATATAGGAATGGTACAATAGGGAGAGGACATTTAAAGTATGATTAGACTAAGCCAGAGGAAGAGGGAGGAAAGTGAAAGAGCTTACTTTTCTCTTGTGTTCTGGGCTCAGCAATAACAAGACTGTCACTGAAATTAGATCAATCCTCTAACAAAAAGGGGTTTCTTTGCTTTTTTAGAGTTTAAATTGGGGGGAAAGAGGGCAGGAAGGGGAAAAGCATATAGTCTGGAAGCCAGCCCAAGCCTCCTTTAGTTAGATTACTAAAGAAGGCAAGTCAAACCTGCTGGCTACTGGACTGCTTGCCCTTAATACACTTGCCTTTCACAGCAGAGACTGCAGATACAAGAATTCACATCATCCTTGTGCAAGGCAATGGGATAGCTGTCCCACAGAAGCAACGCAAACATTCCCTTAAAGGAACGGGAGGCTGACCCCAGTGCTCTCCTAGAGGGAATCTGCACTCAGTCCAAGCAACTTTGCTGCTCAGACCTATTTACATGAGCTGCTGCAATTTGCTAGTTTACTATGTATTAGGAGCAGTTCCTGGGCCTCAGCAAGGTGTCAAGGCATCCCTCACAGCCAGGTTTTATTTGGGCACTTGCTCTGTCAATTCATAACAACACCTCCATCTTGTACAGCTGCGCACCTGACATCTTTCCCAACGGTCATGGAGGCAATCACTTTCTTCACTGCTTCTTTCTTCTTCTCCTTCTTGTCGCTGTTTAATTCTGCCTTCAGTTCAAATATCTCTCCTGGAGAAGAAAGAGCAGCATTAATGCTCCCTGCCACAAACTGTTCTTTTTACCAATCAGTTGCTCTGCTTCTACTACCTACAAAGTAAGGGTCAACAACATATGGCCCAGGGGGGCAATGGGATTTGGCTTCTAGAGGTGGAGGGCTTTGCTTGTGCAGGACTGAACACCTAGAAGCTGCACCTGTGCTGCTGCTTCCCTCTCCCCCGAGCTTCAGCATAGGCACAGCTTTCAGCTGGTAAGGAGCTGTGCTACAGTTGGGCAGCTTCCAGCTATGCTCATGCCACAGCCATGAGATGACAGGGCAAAGGAGAGGCGAAAGGAACAGAAACAGCATGAACACGGCTTCTAGCTGCTCAACCTGGCTGGAAGTGGTGTTCACACCACAATTAGGGAGCAGGGAGAAGTGGCAGCAGTGAGGGACTTTGCCTAAACCTAGAATGGACAAAGCTGCACCCCTCCCAACCCCTGCCATGAGGCACCACAGCCTGCCAGTCCTCAGACTGAAGATCGGTTGTTTCTTATCTATAGCATGCAAAAAGTTGCCAACCACTGACCTAATGCGGCAACCTCTTGATTCAGGTGGGGACAAAGAACAAATAGCACTGTTAACCTGGGCCTTCAAGTGAGCCCAGTCAAAGGGACACTTCAAGATGCCACAGCCTCTACTTCACCAGCTGAAGCGACATCAAAGCATCATTATCTGATATCTCTGAATGAAGAGTACTAGAGAAACAAAGAGCTCTTTAAGTTGGAAAGAGCAGTACACTAGTTATCCAAAAGGGGAAATGGACATGTGCAGTCAGAAAGCTTAACCAGCTCATGGCTGGCTCCTAGCAAGATATGAAAAATCCACGGGGCAGAAAAAGCAGAGTTCTGAACTGTGGCGGGGTGGCGAGAAGGGGCACGTTATTTATGATGAGAACTCGCATGCTGCACTGCAGGAGTCTATTAATGGTTATTAATGCACCCTCCAAATGAAGCCAGAGGAAGGAAGGAAGCACTAGCTAAGCGAACCTGCCAGCTGGACAGCACTGTGGAAGGGATCCCAGTATCCTCCACCATTCCAGCAGCTAGGAGAGACTGGGCCTCTCAACCAAATGGCTACCAAACCCCTCATCTCCTGCAAAAGGGCTGATCAGCATTTGCAAGTTATGAATGCAAACTCAATCCAGAGCCTCAGCTATAGTTATCACTTACTCCTCTCTTGTTCTAGTAACAGAATCACAACAGCATCAATGTGCCTTTCCCAAAGGAAAAAAAACCAAAATGAATCCCAAAATTGGGCAAGGGATGGTTGCCAGTGTTTAATTAGGCAGCTGTTCGTGCTCTCCTAGCAGTTTAAGCAGTAAAGATTTGAGTCACCACAAGCAAGGACAATGGTCCAGTTGCTGATCTATAGACTCGTGGTCTGTGCTTAAAGCAACAGTGGCACTAACTGAAATGCAGCAACAGCAACTGCAAAACAATCCTGAGTTTCAGTCATTCAACCCAGCCTGACAGCACCATGAGCTGCTTTGGGGTCTGGTATGGACAATGGCCCATCTTTAGATTGGGCCAAACATCCAGCCTGGAAGTGGTGGGGGTGGAAAACAAAGACTGATAATACGAGCTAGATAAAATTCACTGTGCCCACAGGCTCAGCAACCCAAGCGTTGAGGACCAACTCCCTCACTAAATCAGAATTTAGAGTAGCACGCGTGGCTATAAATGCCTGTGATTAAGACCACAGCAACAGAAGAATCTACTATAGTCATGCTGTATAAGCAGCAGAGCAGAGGGCTTTCACAGCTCTTAGTATGCTAGTTACTGGGATTACAGTTACCCAAACCCCTGCTTTTAATTAGCTTTCCAACCTCACTGATCAAGGGTAAATAGTCTCTAGTAAAACAGATTGATCAGCAAGGTACCAACATGCCTATTCATCATTTCCTTGGTTTGGCAGCTTCTTCAGTGTAGGAAAAAACCCCCGTAGCTCTTTAAATCCTTCTGACTTCCATTGCTGGTTCAGCAGTCAGTAGAAGTTCCAGGCCCTGCCAGGACTTTCCTCCTCGCCATACCACCCTCCTAGTTCTAGTTATTAAGCTATCCAAGTGCACCAAGGGAAGAGGCCACTCTGACAGCTGCAACAATGGGTGTTACCATGCTGCTGAAACTGATAGAGAGAGACGGTTAAAAGGCTGGTCTCAGTTCATGCACAGGCAGCAGAGCCTGGGCAACAAACTGCCTTTGCCATACAGAAGCCTGGCAGCTACATCCTCAGTCTATCCAGTTTTTGGAAGCCAAATCAGTGGGTGGTTCCTTCTGCAGCGACAGAGTAGATTACCACAATATCTGCATGCACAGGGCTCCTCCGCCAGTTTAGCAAACTGGAGGGCAGAGTGTTCTGACTGAAAGCATCCATGCTGCCAGCTTAAGCTCTGTAAGCGAGGAGGAAAACAACTTCAAAAGCCATTAAACAGTTTATCTTCCCCCTCCCTGTTAACACCATGCAGCTACTAAAGTTGATGAGTAAATGCAGCAAATAAAATAATAAAAAAAGAAATTCTTCCTGCATCTGGACAGCCAACAGGACAGGGTGCTACCGCAGGGCTTAGCAAAGGTCTGGAACCAAGTCACACCAACAGTTTACTGCGGAGGGGAACTAACTGAACTCGTACCAAAACTCGGACAAGGGCGTCATCAGGGAGATGAACTGAAAGAACAAGGAGACACCACTGAAAGCATGAGAAGCCCCACACAGTTACCTTTCTTTGTAGTAGTGAAGTACTTGGAGTCCGTCATTTTGGTCCCTGTTTTGCAGTGCGTCTCTGCAAAGAGAGGAGGCAGAGAAAGTTTACACCCTGGCCTTTCTGCTGAATTTGCAACAGCAGAGGAAGCCCAGGGAAGAAAAACAAAGTGTGGGGGAGATTCAGCTCTTTCACAGGAAAGACAACAAGGAAACCCACACGGTCTGCCTGTGTGCTTAACTGTCACAAGAGTTTTAAATGAGGAAGGCTGCAGCATGCTCCCTCCCCTAGGGAGGGCATGTGTAGGCAAAGTAGTGCCACTTCCTCCTGCCTGGTCTATGCTGGCAGTTCTGCAGCAGCACTGGTTAGTAGTGGATTTAAGAAATCACTGCTCTGACACTGCTCCAGCACCCACGTCACCCAACAGTTATGTTGCTCCCAGGAGTGACAATGGTGGAGGCGGCGGCCCAGCCCTTCACATGGTACCAACTCTGGTCTAACTGCCAACAGGGTACATCTCAGCAGAAACACGGTGGATCAGAGAAGTGAAACTCCCCATCTGCTCTCAAAGGCAGCCTCCACCCATTTCAGAGACAGGCTCAACAGGCAAGAAAACTCCATTGCTTTTCTTTCATATGGTCTGAGGGTATGTGAAAATGCTGGTTTCTAACGCTCCTTCCAGGAACACAGGGCCTTTAGGAAGAAAATAAGGAGACTGCTGCCTTGCAAGCTTGATGGGAAATTAGTCAACTAGCCTGTTCATAGTAAGGGGGGGAAGGGGAGGGAAGGTAAATCAAAATCATTCATTCAATCAGCAGTTTCCCTGTGAACCACTTATTTCCTTGTCCAAGGCTGAAAGTCCTCCCCCCCCCAGTTCAGATCCTAAATTGAAAAGGGCCCCCTTTTCAATGAGGTACTTCACAACCAATTCACTTCTTCCCACCCCCAGAAAAGTGATACAGAATTAGCAAGTACCCAGGACCCTGCCAAGGAGGTCATGAGTCCTAGATTGAGTAATGCCACTGGGGCAGAAGAAAGAGGACACTAAATCCTCCACCACTCCACACAGGAAACAGTTCTGAGAAGAAAGAGAGGAACCAAACAAAAAAACAAACTGCAGACAGCAATTTCTATGGAATCCCATTATGGAATTTCTGCAGTAAATGTACAGAATAATCTTAGCTCAGAGTGCATAAATCTTCCCTACTAAATGCATCTGTAAGAGCCACTAACTTTTCAAGCAATGCTTCTTTAAAACTTTAAAAGCTGTCAAGTGTTTCAGGCCCTGGGATTTTTATATACCAAATAAATGAGCACCAGGCTGGCACCCCTGGCACTCTGAAGGAGTCCAACACATACAAAATGGGCAGCCTTTTAGGAGGTGAGCTACGTGGTTCCAGATTGTGTCTTTCTGTGATTACTTAACCTGTCCTTCTTTTACCTAGGATTTAAATCATAGAAGCACATTTATTTCTAGGCCCTGCCAACAACCTAGAAGAGCAGAATGTGAGAAGGGCACTATCTCCAGGCCTGCCCCCAGAAGGGAGACTTTAAAAGTGTGCTAAGTCTGCTTCAGTATAAAGAGTAGCTTCAGCCTTGGAAAACCCAATACTGCAATTCTGTGCTAGCTAGAAAGAAACTGCTACAGTGAAATTAGACTAGTCGATTTAGAAACAAGATACAAGAAGGAAGCAAAACCAGATGAGAGTTATATATAATAGTAGAAGGTGCTTTCCTCTAAGCAAGAGGCAGCTGCTAGAACCTCCTCCCTCCCCATTTTGAATGGACTAGTAAATCCTCTGAAATTATGCAGTGGCATCCAATCTAGAGGATTTTATACATCTCCAAGTGTTAGTACATTTAAATCTCCATTGCCACACGAGGCAGCTAAGAATCACCCCTATTTTGTAGGTGGCAATGAAAGCCAGGGATCAAAACAAGATGCAGCAGCCAAAGAGCCAGGCCTAGCAACAAAACAGATGTCCTGATTGACAGGAACACAGAAACAAGATGGCTAGTGATTGACACAGGTAAGAATGGCCTGGGTAGTAGATGCTGGCTTTTCTGGGGGTTGGGGACAGAAGAAGGTGAAGAACTGCAATCAGGAATATTAAGATACAACTGTCACAAGGCATCCTTTCTTGTTTGGTATGCCAGACACCAGCTCCTCAGTCCTTCTGAAAAGCCAGAAGCCCCATGACCCTGAGTGTTCTGGTTTCAAAGCACTCCAGTCTTCTCTTTCTAGGAAGAGAAAGAAAGGAAAACAAACTGGTATGTTCAGTGTCTTCTTCCCTAGGCTACCAAGGAACCAGTTACCCTTTATCAGTTAAAGTGGTGACAAAAGCTATTAAATTATGCTGCAGCATACTCCTGCACCTCACTACAGATCTCCTGTTCCTTGCAGCCAACAAAAGGAAGGATTTGCTGTAGCTACCCCCCCCAATAGATTTATACTGCTTTATCATGCAATGCTTACTTTATTAGCCTTAGTTTACAACAGAGAATGGCCTGTGTGGCTATGTAAGCACCTGAATTTTATTAGCCTTAGTTTACAACAGAGAATGGCCTGTGTGGCTATGTAAGCACCTGAATTTTTTTCATCTGGATCCATCAGCTGCACCAGCAGGTCTCTCCCCCTTTTGATTTCTGGTCTCTGGGCTTTTCAGCATTTGCAATCCACACTTATACTGTTTCTGCTCCTATTCCCCATAGTCCCCACCAACAAGGGCCATAACCCACCCCTTTTCTGTACAGGCCCCTGAACTTCATGGCACCAAAACCAGGTCTCTGAAGCAGTCCCAACCAGGCAATTCCTTCTTATGCACTGATGTAGGAGCTGTAGGCTGGAGTATTACACTTGAACTTTGGCAAAAGCAGGACAAATACTGCAAGGAAAAGGTGCAAGACCTGGTTTTGGGAAGTATCCAAAAATAAACTAGGATCAGCTGTTGTGACCTTGCTCTCAGCTTCCTGCTTCTGCAGTGGAGCCTACCTTGGTTTTGCCATCAACATGAGACATGGCCAATTCCTCCAAGAGTAGAAATAAGCAAAGCCAGTACCTTAGTGCCTGGCAGCAGTTAGAAAAGCAGCTCAGAGGTTTAGAACCTGTGACTGCACCTACAGCCCTGTGTGCAATGCTGTGTGCTATAACCCCAGGAAGATTGGATGGACAAGGGTAATGAGGCATTACTGCCTTACAGAGACAGCAGCTAGGAGCTTAAACAGGACATGACTGATGTTTATATAGCACTAATGAAGGTGGATGATAAAACGCCCGGTCTCTGGGTACAGTGCAAAGCCAGGAGCCAGGAACAAGTTTTGGAGGAGTGCCTAGCAGGGAAGACAGGCAGTGGAGAAGTTGCCTACGTTAAGTGTTACTAAATGCTCATGCAAGTAGTCACAGGCTTGCAAGGCTTCTCTTCAGTCAGTATTTGAGACTGTGCAGCCGTCTTTAGACACCCACTCAGATGAGGATCAAGCATTCTGAGAGCAGACCGACTTCCAGCACCACTGCTAGGTCTCCACTTCCAAGCTCACATCTGAAACAAACCCAAGAGGGGCTATACATGTACCCAGGGCCCATTCATCCTCCCTTGCTTCTCTAACAGCAGACCACACTGGAATATTATTGCTTTGGTTTTCTCTGCGGACATGGATACTGGGAATACACTGCCTCCTAGTTTCACACAGGCACTTTCTATAGCAGAAAAGTGACAATACTAAAGCAACTGACAATTTTTTGTATTTTGTCCAGCTGCACTTAAACAGGGTCTGCGCATAAAAAAATCAAGAGTCAAAACTGACACCAGCCCTAGCAGAAAAGCTACTTGTGCCCACTCGTGGCTGGCAGGATGCCAATTAAAGCCTTCTCCCTCCTTCCCAGTGAGCAATTGATAACTCTGGCATCTTAATGAAAGAATAGGAAGTCTTCCCAAACTGCAAGAGCTACTGATCAGATCAGAACGAAGTCAGAAGCTGTGTTTACCCCCACTGTAGAACTGTGCTCTGCTAAGGAGTGCTAGGGTATGGGAACACGAACATCAATGCAGAAAAAGCCACAAGTGCTATAGTTAGAACTATGCAGTGCTTTACTAGCCAGCAGCAGCTGCCAAAACCACAAGCTCAGGTATCATATGAAACTGTTTAATGGCAAAGAGTCCTACAACCAGAGAAGTCTGCCTCTTAAAACAATCTGCAACTGCCCAGTTCAGCCTTCTGATAAAGTAGATAAGAGGACAGCCAAGAAAGTCTTTGGGCTCCAAATGTACACCAGCTGCAAGAAGGAACCTCTGTGAAGCCTTTCCCTAGCACGCTAGATGCAACTAGAAAACTAAAAAGGGGAAGCCTGACTGCCACAGAGTTGCTGAGTGAGCCTGGCCAAATAATTTTTCATCTGTGATGGATGCCATTTCACTTATCAGCCTCCAGCTTGCATCATGTGTATGCACTCTGGAGAAGGAACTGGCTAAGCCTGGGCAGCCTGAAGTACAAGAAGGCTCCTAGTACTATCAAACTATAACTAGGCCCTTCCTGACTTGTGTTGCTTCAAAAGGGATGGGGAGATGGGGGAGGGGACAGGAGGAAATGGTTTCCATCTCCTCCATCCCTTTCCCTCCCAAAGACAAAGGGAAAAAAAAAAAAGTTGCTGTGGAATGATCTAAAGCTCTACAAAGTTAAGTCACCAAAGGCTAAACCAGGTGAAAGAATAACTACATGGTTAGAGTGTAGCTAAAGTTTGACTGGGAGGAGAAGAAAAGCTATACCCACTTGGTTAAGTTTTCACTGTCACCACACTAGTCTCCAAAACTATCCAAATCCCAGGAGGTAACCAGAACAGTTGCACAGTTCCAGATTTCTGCAACCGACTATACTAGCCAAGACTGGAACAGGGCTCAGTCTGTCTGCCCCCCCTCCCCGGATTTCAGTCTCCATAGGGCAAACACAGGGTTGTTTAGACTTTTATACTAGGATTTTGCATGCAACAGGATAGAATTTGCCATTTTCCAGTCCTCGACCCTGCTGAAGGCAGGGACAGTACATGATGCTCTTGACTGTGCACAAAGCTTGCCAGTTCACTCAGG